CATGTTCATAGAGCTGGGGGAGAAAACAGGCAAGTTCTTACCCCTACTACAAACTGGGGGGCCTTGTTGTCTGAGCCGCCACAGGCTGCCTATTGCTTTTCTGCTTTAGGACCTGCAGGATGTGCAAAGGGCTGACAGCCTGATTTGCTTTTCCCTCGCACCCAGACAGGGTTTATTCACCCTGCACAAAGCGGGTTTGAGGTGCTGTGAAGTTGGGTGTTTCTCTGCAGATCACATGCAAATCCATGGAAGTGCTCACTCACATGGCCAGGCTGGGGAGGGCTGAGCTCCACGTGTTGTCACCTTAGGAATGCGTGGTAAACAGAAGTTAGAGCGATGCCCAGCTCTTAAACAGACTGAGTCTCTTTTATGCTAAGGTGAAAGGGCTTTGCTGTAAGCCCCCAGAAAGGTTTGGATTGTAATTCAAGGCTTTTTACACTAGCGGAACAGTTAATGTAAAGATGAGTCAGCCCCATCAGAAGCAGCCTTTGTACACTACACAAAATGTCAGCAGATTCTCAGATGGGTAAAGTTCGGCATGACTGATGTGGAGAAGCCTTTATTAACTTGAAATCTGAACAATAGTTGGTTTTATTCCCTTTTCCATTAAATTTTTTTTCCGTGTGCATAAACTCAGCTAGACCTGTTGGAAATCCTTTAGAAGTTGTTTCCTCCCATGATAGATGATATGCACATTGGGCAATTGAAATCGCATACGCTCCAAAAAGATCCAGCCTCGCCTTTCCCATTTGCAGCAGGGCAGGACTGAACTTGTCTGCAACTGTTTCATGCACAGGAAAATAAAGGAGAAAATGAATTACGGTTTTATTTGAGTTGAAGGATTAGTTGTGGGATAATAGCAAACAACAGAACAACTCAGACAGGAACAATGCTGCCGTCTCTTAAACAGTTTTATTAGCTTACGCTGATTTGTGAATTAGGAAAACCAAATTATCTGAGGCAAGAGAGTAAGAAACAACAATTAAAAGCCTGCAGGAAAGGACTGGAGAAATGGTGATTTCTCACTGCCTCCTCTTCAAAGCAAGGTGGAGAGCATGACCTTTTGTTGGAATAAATGCACTGTATTGCACAGAGCTCCTTTCTGCTTCTTGGTTTGGCCAGTTTGCAATTGCTTGCTTCTCCTGTGGTTCATACTTGTTGATTGCCCTGGGGTCCAATTTTATTATCTAAACATTCCCCCAAAGAATTTCCTCATTCTTAGATTTGAGGTCTGTTCATCTCCATTTCACTTCTAATTTGTGAATTCTTTGCCCTTCTTAGGGCTCAGAGGCAGGGTATGCTGTTACATTTGAATAACCAGAATGCTGTGGGACCATGAAAACCAGCCTCCTTGGGCAACGGTTCTTGCTAATAGCAGAAGTGTGGTCAGTAATCATGTCTGTAATATGGTTATGAACAGTATGAATAAGATTCAACCATCATATTATATATATATATATATATAATATATATATAATGTTGTATATTTGATAATGATTTATTGACCTTGTTGAAACTTTGATGACAAAGTGAGGTTGAAATTTTGTTGGTACTACAAACCAGAGTCACATTGTACTTGTGTCTGTATTTTCCGCGCTTTCAGAATAGTTGCTCCAAATGTAGACAAGGGTGAAAGAAAGCTGTTTGTTCTGGAACAGAGGATGAGTTATTTGCCTGATGAAGCCCACTTCCTTCCTCAATGGTCCCTCAGAGCTAAAACTCATTCCCCCTTCTCCACAAAGAGCGAAGTGCCAGATACTGCGTAGTAAGAAGATTGTCCTGGTTGGAGCATGAGCACTCAGCTGGCCAGGAGAGGAGTGTGCTTCGAGAAGCAGGGTGTCTCTGTGCATGTCCTGAAGTTTGTGCTGTGCTGTTTTTAAATCTTAAGCATAAAGATGGCTGGGAACATTTATAGGCAACTTGCCTCTTACAGAAACAACTGCTAAAGGGTAAGGTCAAGCACATCGCTGCAGATGAAACTAGCTTATGAATTTGCAGTGTATCGTCTGCTCCCCAATAACTGGCTGTGTGCATGGTGCATGTATATGCACTCTGTGGTAAATACCAGCTCTCTCACCCTTCTTCCCCTTAGGGGTTGGATGCCTTGCTTCATGCTATCTTTCCCGTGAAATGAGTGCATGTGCAAGGATAGCTGCTGCAGATTGCCAGTGCATGATGTCAAACCGGTGCTTCTTATTGACTTGTTCTGGTGTCCTCATGCTGGAAGGAGCCTGCAACGCAAACTGGAAGCTGGTGTCAAGATAACTGCATATTTAGCATGCAGGGCTTTTATTTCCATGACTTGAGTCTTTGTACAGTCAATCATGGCCTTGTTTAAATTGAAATCAGAATCCTCATCCAGCCTATTGAAGTTAGTAGAAAGACATTTGCTGACCAAAGTGAGCTTCAGTGCAGTGTTAGGGGTGGCTTTCTCTGGAGAGTGGCACAAAGGAATAGATGCAAGCAGGATTTGGTATGGGTGACAAGACATGCCTGGAATAAAAACCTCTGCTCGTATTAAAAATAGTTGGAAGCTACGTAATTTTTGCTGAAATGCAAAGTATTTCCTGGTAGTTCTTTGCAATCCATGTTCAGATTCACCAAAATGTTGAATAACGAGAGATATGTGTTGGGTGATTTTTTGTGGGAAGTAATGAAAATTAAGAATGAACTTTTTAGAAATGTTTTAATTGCCAAATTACTGGGGGGAAAGAACCAGAAGAACTGATTTTGAAAATAATGAAGTGTTTCATTTTTAACAATCAGGCACAAAATGTTTTAAGTATTTTGAGAAGTTTTTGCTTTTTTGTTACTTTGAAATTCACCTAATCTAAAAAAAAAAGTCGCAGAATCGTAGAATGGCCAGGGTTGGAAGGGATTTCAAGGATCATGAAGCTCCAACCCCTCCGCTGCATGCAGGGCCACCAACCTCCCCATTCAGTACCAGGGCCCCATCCAACCTGCCCTTGAACACCTCCAGGGACGGGGCATCCACAACCTCTCTGGGCAGCTGTTCCAGCACCTCACCACTCTCATAGTAAAGAACTTCTGCCTGACATCCAACCTAAATCTTCCCTTCTTCAACTCAAAACCATTTCCCCTTGTCCTGCTGTTACCTACCCTTGTAAAGAGTTGACTCCCCTCCTGTTTGTAGGCTTCCTTTAGTCTGTAGTGAGGTCACCCCACAGCCTTCTCAGTTGAGTATAAACTGTTTGAGGTTAAACAAAATGTTGAGGGTCGACTTAGAAGTTGTATTTCACTCCTTTGGGTTGGATTTCTATCATTACAAAGCTTGTAAGACCACGTCTGACTGTGCTGCTCTGTCAAATAAGCAGCAGAGTCCCATTTTATCAGAGAGGAGGAGTTGTTGACCAAAGTCCTGAGCCTGGGTATCCAAAAGATCTTGAGGTTACAGTGCCTGAGGCACTGAGGAGCTGTAATTCTAGGTCAGGGTTTCTTAATGAAGAAGGCTTTTGTAAGAGGTCTATTGCATTGCTACAATCCATCAGGGAGATGTGTGCAACTAAGACCAGTCATCGTCGTCATTGCCAGTGTGCAATGGAGAGTCACAACCAGGTGGAAGAGTTAGCAAACATTTATGGGCACTACTTTTTGAGGACTCCACCTCAGCCAGTGAATTGTGGTAGTCTTACACCAAAGCTGTCTGGATCAGTTGGGCAGTTGTTGGTTTGGGTTTTGGAGGGTTTTGTTGTTAAACTAAAAAGGGCTCTCTGTGGGCTGTCACTTTGAGTGTTTCCCTCGCCTACTACCATTGCGTTGTCTTCCCTTTACTCTTCACCCATGAATGCTCTTGTCTGTCTGTCTGACTTGTTTCCTGCCTTCACGTAGGGTGAGATTCATCTGCATTCATCTGTAGTCATCCAATCTGAGCTAAGTGTCTAGACTGACTTTATGGAGGGAGAGAAGTAGACCTTTCTGGAGAATGATTCATTCTGTCCTAAAGCAGATGTTTAAGATAAGTCATATTAATTATTCTCTAGGTTGCCTACCATTCTGCACTGAACATAAAGAGAGCGGGGGCTATCTCAGGTGTATGTCTTTGTTTTGCACACATATGTACGTGGATTCCACTGCAATCCTAATAGGATGGATTCTCTGTAAGTGAATCCTGAAATAACATACTAAATGTTTGAGGAGGCTTATGTCAAAGAAATAGGAAGAGTTTGTAACAGGACAGGACACCAACAATTTGAGAAGCATTGATAGCCTGTGGGAACCCAACTGAAGGAAAAAAAGGCTCAATTTGGGCCGTATGGAAACACACTCTGTGCTAAATATTGATTGTGGAGTTCCATTAAAAAGGTAGCATGATGGGTTTCCCAAACCGCTGTAAAAAGGCGCAGGGTAGCTTGATGTCTGGTATGTAGCTGGTAAAAATAAAATTAAAATTAAGAGATAGCTTGCAGAAAAATACGGTCAAACAAATAAATGTGAAAGAAAGGCACAGTATTAAAGATTTCAGCTGTGTAAAAATACTTGCCACTGAAGAGTAGCAATATGTGTATGCATATTTTTGGTTTCACTACTTCTCTGTTGCAGTATTACAGATAACTGCAGGAAAAGATAGGTGCTCTTGTTCCATGAGAGAAGTTCATTAGAAACAAAAGTATTCCTGGATCTTTTTGGACTTCCTGGGCTTTACTTGCAGACATTATTCGAAACAGCCCAGAGTAGCTGTTTGTTTTTTTTCCCTCACTTGTTATAGCAATTGAATTATCCAAGAACAGTTTCATTATGCTTCAACAATTCTGAACTGGGTTTTAATTGTTGGTAATAAGGATGTAGAGCAAATGACTCTTACTATTCTAGGTCAGCATTTGACATACGCGCTACACTGAAATCTTCATCTTGGTAACGCATTAAAAATGCATTTTCTACAAGGAAACGTATGAATTGATTGTGCATTTGCTGAAGAGCTGTATAGATTTTCCTCCTTTTATTTCTCGTTTTCCTTAGTTTGTTTTACTTATCTTTTACAGCTCTATCTCACCTTATTTGAAAGAGGAGAGCTATTGAGGACCTGTGAGCAATCCAACAGCTTCTGAAAAATCTTCATGCTAAAGGATAATCCTGAGCTCCCTGGAGAAGAACATAGTGAATGTTGTGAGTTCCTAGCAGCAATAATGTGTATTTGCAATTGTGTTTTGTGTGGGGGGGTATTTGTGTTGTAACATTTGCTCCAGTACCTGGGATGTGTTGGGCATCTTTTTGCTGTGCTGAAACCAAAGAGCAGTTGTTTGGAGGTTAGGCTGCAAAGCCAGACTTCTAATTTCTCTCCCTCCCACTCTCTTCTTCTACTTCCTTTATTTTTTTTCATGACTTCAAGGGCAGAATAGTGATAACTGAGGAATGATGTTGGGTTTCTTTCCCTTGGACCGTTACAATTATGTAATGCATCATTATTGTTTTTTTTAGCTAAATCTGTAATCCTGCTTTTGAAGGCCTTGTGATGGTGTAGCCTAACAAAAATGAAAAATATCATGGATAACAGTTCAACATACAGTTCAGATTTGGTAATTTTATATCTGGTCATACATTGATTGAAATCATTTGACTGCTTCCAAATTAGAGGTTATTTGCATCTGATATTCCAAATTTCTGTTCCTTTGATCAGTTTGCTCTATTAAATTGAGTACTGTACATTTCTATACAAATATTCCTCCTGGAAATTTGTGTTCATGGGAATTGGAGTAGTGTATCTTCAGAGAGAAAACACTCACACAATTAAGGCTTTGGTCCTTCAGCCTTTAAGAAAAGAGACCCTTCCATGAGTGAAGGCTAAAGAGAAGGCATAAATATTTATATGCTCATTGTTTTTCTTGTGAAGCTCTCTGCGTTTCTGGGTTGAGGTGGGCAGATGTGCCAATCAGATGTAAACATCCTGAAAAGCAGAGGAAATGAGAATTCTCTGCCTACCAAGTCAGAGAATAATCCTTGTTTTGTGATCTTAAGAAACCTTGAAAATTTCAAAGTTAGGTAAGTTGATATTTGAAGCATTATTGAGTAGCCCTTCAGGATGTCGGTGATGATAACACAGCTGCAGTTTGAGTAAATTAGTTGTTGTGCTTTCCTTAAATTTAGTAAATGAGACTCTTTTTTTCTGACTCCTGTGCATTCCTTCTAGCTCCCTGGAAGTCAGATGCCCCCCTTGCTTACATGTTTGGGTTGCAGGCTTTGGGAGCAGACTGAGATAGAACCTAAGTGATGCTGCTTTCTAGAGGCTACTTGCAAAACAAACGCTATAGGAGAGACAGAGAAGCCTTTGTCGTCTTTCCTCTTTCCTGCATGCCATGATCAACAGTGAAATAGTTAACAAGGCTAACGTTTGGAATTGTTAGTAACTAGTAACACTAAGCTGCTGAGTTAATAACTCACAGAGATGAATAAGGGACCTCTGAGACCTGGAGCTTCTCACTGTCTGTGTATCCAAGCAGCTGTAGCCATATCAGCTTATTCCCACACTTTGAAAGACTCCTTTGAAACCACAAGGGCTTACTTTGCAGACTGACGTCCTAGAGCAGAGGGGAGCAGCCTTAAAGAATAATAATGATGATAATAAACTGCTCTAGCGTGTGAAGCTGTTGAGATAGCGGGAGGTGTTTCCTGAGGATGTCTCAATCATCTCTGCTGATTGCAGCAGCACTGCATGTGAGGAGAGCATTCCCTGGGTGCTATACAGACTGTCTGGGTGTCTGGGATCAGCCAGATAAGCTTCATGAGGATGGAAGGAACTGTCAGCTGGAGGGAACTGCAGAGGATGGAGTGTCTATGCGAGATGCTGGTGTTGTGATTATTGCATTCTGCCCTGTCCTCAGTGGTTTAAAATAAGCCCACTGCAAGTGTAGTGCTCTGGCCTGCTGCTGAGGTGCCAAAACCCTGAATTACACTCATGAGGCCCTGGTTTGTGAAGAAAAAGTAGGACACCTCCCCAGGTACACATAGTATATATTGCTCTTGAGAATGGCTCTCAGCCTGGCATTGGAGATGGATGTTCGGAGGGGGTCACTCTAGGCAATGGAGAGCTTTTCAGGAGTTCCTTACGAGTGTGTTTAGTCACCTTGCTTTGCCTATGGGACAGAGTGGGGCAAGGTGGCATCAGCTGAGCTCCTCTTCTTCCAGCATTGACCTCTCTAGCATACAGAAGTACCTGGAGCCAGGGGGGTGGCACTGCTGCCGTGTGTGCTGGAAGGAAATGCCAGCACACAGTGATTTTCCTTAAAAGCACTGCTCTCCTTTCCCTGAGTGTTTGCAGAGTGTTGTCACGTTAAGACAAGGGAAAGCACGGACCCTCCCTGCTGCTCTCATCCCTTCCGCCTCCTCCTCCTGCCACCGAAGCAAACTTCAGTGCGGGGGGGTGGACAGTAAGCTGGGACCAGCGTCCCGGATCCACCTAGAAACTGCCTGTTTACTAAACAGCACCACGTTCTCCCTTCCTCTCTCCTGCCCTCCTCATCTGGATGAAGTAAAGTGCTGGGATAGCAGAGCTTATACAAATCAAGTCCATATTCTGCTTCTGCAGGGAGAAGGAGAGATGTCAGGAGGATTTTTTAAGGAGGACTGCTACTTCCCCTAGCTAGGGAGCAAAACAGAGGAAGGTGAGGCTGCTTTGCTGTTGCAGTAGGGTACCTTGTGAGTTCCAGCATAAGGTTTTGTAATTCTCTGGTGAAGCGTAGGTACTCTCAGGTTTTTTTCCGTCCTAAAAACGTATGCCACTTTTTTTTTGGGACTGCTAGCCACACAAGCACAATTCTGACAGGAGCAGTGAAGAAGCTGCATGTTTCTCACTCGTGGGCTTTTCTTCATGTGTGGTGATTTTTTGTTTGTTTTTTTTTGCACTTGTGCTGAAACCTCTGGTACACTTAGTGGGAAACGGAAAATAAATCTCTAAACCCAATATGTGTCAATAACCAACACTTCTGCATTCAGTTGATCTCATATCTGGAGCTGATGGCAAACTGCAGCTGACAGGGTAGTAAACACTCCTGTGCCTTTCTCCTGCAGGCTCCCAGTGTGTGACCTCGGAGGGGAGCTGCCCGCAGGAGGGCATCTCCGGGGCTGTGTTCAGCCCCAGCCCCATTCTCAGCCTTCCCAGCTCCTTATTTCCCTCTTTCGCTCACACTGCTCCCCTGGCAGCCCTCGCTCCTGTTTTTCCTGGCACCCTGCACGCTGGCTGGGCCAGGAGGGAGCAGCTCCTGGGGTTGATGTCAGCACTGCTTCCTGAGCTGCTGCCGAGGGCATGGCAGCCCGGGCGCACCCTTTCCCTCGAGCATCACCTGTTTCTCCTGCCCAGGCTGCTGGCGTGGCAGCCCCTCTGAGGGGAAACCCAGAGCCATTGGGGTTGGCAGCACTTTACTGAGAGCACTGTCAACACCGAGTCCGCTGCGTGGTTGAAATTGATGCACGGTGACTGTGATGAGCAGCACGCACCTGGCAGAAGTGAAGGGAAGTTGTGTCATACGCAGCCTTCGCGTCTCTGAACGCATTTGCTTTTGTAGCTGTGTGCTCAAGCACTTCATAGTTTTCCATGGAAATCACCAGGCTGCTGATGAAAGAATTTTGTGTGTCCGTTCTTCCCAACAACTGCCCAGTGCCTGCTGCTCTGTATTCACAGGGGGAGAGAGAAGAGGGAGCATCGCTGTCATTTGAGAAATGTTTCTCTGAACAGCAGTAATTTATTCCCAGGCATTATTCTTCATTAAGAGCTACAGACAGCTGCAGCTTCCCTTTAAATAGAAATTGCATTCTGTAGGCATGCTATACATAGGGCTTCAGGTTTCTGACATTTCTCTGCCAAAAATCAGAAGTATTTCTCACCAAATAAATGTTTATTCAGAAAGTCTTATTTCCTGGCTTCTATTTCACATCACATGCTTCCGACGGATGGACCAGTGTGGCTCAAGGCTGACATTTGGGAGAGGAAGTTGGAACAGTTTGGGTTTCTTGCAACGCTGCAACAAAGAAAAGCCTCTGACCGTAACTCCAGCCTTAGGTTTGGCAGCTTATTTTGACAGTTGAATGCTGGATTACAGTGGGTGCTGCAGAAGACCTTCTCAGTGCAGCACATGGGGCATGTTCGGGTGGCTTCAGCCCCATAGAGGAATGTGTGGTGACAGTGCCCTCAGACTTGAGTGCTGAGGGACCGCCTTGAGGTCAGCTGCCTCTTTATCCATGTCCATGCACTGTCTCCTAACCTCTCTCCTGATGTCTTTTTCAACCCAAATCGCTGAGCTTCCCACTCCCTCACCTCTGTTGCTGATCTGCTGGCTCCATGCTTTCCATTGGTGTGCCAGCCCCAACCACAGTGGCACTTTCCAGTTGTAGCAGCCCCAGTGAGTTGCCTTTTGTAACCAGTAGACATGCTGTGCCAGTCACATTCAAGGGATCCTCCTCCTGCCTATGCCCCCTTTGTTCTTCCTACACCCCAGGCACCCCTACATTGCAGTATGCAATACATGTATTAAACTAATCATTAGTTAGGCCAGTCGTTACTCACTGGCCTTCTTCTTGGCCGGTAGAGCTTCCAGAGAGCTGAGAAGTTATAATTTCTCCAGGGCTAAAATCCAAGTCTTTGATAGGCAGGCATGGTGCCTGGGGCCACTACATGTTGCTACCGGTTGTCAGCTCTGTAAAACTTACCCTGCAGAGCGAGGAAATCTGGGCACAAAGATCGTTCTCTTCTTGTGCTGTGGCGAGCTGCAGTTTCCCAGCCTGCTATGCCTTTCCTTCATTGTCTTCCAAGCAAATGGCTGTAAGATTATGACTCCCATGTTTGGACTGAGAACAGCTTTTGCCTGAGCAAACAGATTTCACTTTGGCAGTCGCTTTAGCTGCTGCCCCAGCTTTTTGCTGTCAGCTCGGTTTCATGATTTGCTGTTAGGAAAGTCCAGGCAGTCATAGTGTACTGGAGCGAGTAAGCGAAGCAAGGAAGGCAGGTGAATTGCATCTGTTAATGGTTACAGTGCCAGGGTGCTGCCCTGTGCTCTGCAAGGAAGAAGCATCTCTGTAGTTCAGTGATGTTCCTTGCAGTCATTCTTCTTTTTGACTTGGTGCTGTTAGCTAGAGAGACTTCAGGTCCTTGTTGGCAGCGCACCCTGATGTGAGGG